AGACATAACACCAGCTTGGAAAAGGTTAAAGATACACCACACAGACAAAAACTCTAATAACACTATGTATTTTATTAATCTAACAATCTGGAAAGTAAATATTAAACATACACTTACCATACTGTTATCAAACAACTGTTCAATAAGACACTCGATGTCTCAATACTACAAACACAGCAATCAGTGTCATTGTTATAGTTGACAAACCCTGGTATTAAATAAAAGATTTATAATTAGTTCACTTTTTCACTAAACTAAAAATATCCATCAAGCTAAGGTAGAATCACTGGTCATAGTACGAATACCGATTGTCTCCACCAATCAAATCAGTAATAATCTCTAATCATTATTGATCCCATTCATTCTAAATCAATTAACAGGCAACATTTAGAATATCATAGAGAAAAATAAGTTTCTAACTGAAACATTAGTAATACTTTTCTGAAGTTTCTTTGATTCAAAAAAAATTTCACAAATTCACTTACCTAATTTCTTCATCATCTTTTACAATATTTCACGTCTAAACCAGAGAACACTGATGTGTTCCTAAAAACAGAAATAACACATGAATATTAAAATTAAGGATAGTTCTCCAACAAGTCTTTCAGCAGACATAATCTGGTGTTTAAAATTGTCACTGCCATATCTCAATCAAGACTTTATACAAATATCAAATCTATCCACCAACAGTCATGATTCCAGTTTGACGTACTGTAAGATGGACTGGCTAGCTCCAACATAAAATTCATTGACTTAGAACAGTCTTAGGTCCTTCTGTATTCTATATTATTTCAATCTTATATTTACCACTTCAGTAACTCTAAGAATGTGTTTCAATCTCTATAATTATCTCAGCAGAAAATAATTGTTAGAAAAACTCCAACAAAAATTGACCAAATATGACTACGCTTTATTAAAGTACCAGAGCAAAACAACCAAAGCATGTTTAAGTTAGGGTTTTTATGTGAGATATTTCTCAGTCTTTAACTAAATTCAGACTTACTTAATTCAAGTAATTTTGGAAGATAATGTAATTCAGATCCTAATATATCATCCAAATCAGATCATAAGTATATACTTTATATAAAATATTTGAAAACATTTATAAAATATTAAGTTGAAATAGTATTTACAACTTGTAAGACAAATAATATCATTCAACATCACATGTCCCCGAGCAGCTATAACAGAATGTTCAAACACGTCCTTTATCATATATATATTACCTCATACTGGTAAACAGACATTGTATGTGAAGACATCTGCACGACGTTCTCATACAACTGACCTTCATTTCTAAACATCAAAGGATACATCACTTTTTAAAGTCTAAATGAACACTTGTCACTGAAACCATCAAAGTTAATTTTTCTTGTTTTTTTAATCTTCTAACTTTCAAACATGCAAAATCAAGGCACGAACAAAGTCAGATATTTTGTGAGTGCGACTTATTTTTTTCATACATTATTAAAGTCCTAACATCGGCTGATGAACAAGACAGTTAATTAATCCTTATTATACATTCTCGTCAAAAATAAAAACAAGAATCTCAGAATAAAAGTAAGTTTCGGTGAACATTCTAACACCATACGAAAACTCATCATATCTAACAAAGGTTCTGTTTCACATAAACAAACTCTAAATTCATAGGAAGTCCACTAACATAAGTAAATATATCATAATCACTTTATATAATAAAGAAACTCTCAATAAAAAATACATTTCTACTGTTATAATGTGTGTTTGTGTTCAACGTGTCAGGGAATGATGATATTTTATTAAACTTGAAATATGTTTATGAGAGTTTAAAGTATTCGTACTATCTGACCCTGCTGAATGAGAATAACTGAATTTTATGTTTGTATATAAATTATATAAATATATGTATATAATATAAATATGATATTAATTGTTCAATCTTTGTTTGAAAAACTATCTCGTGCATTAATTGGTAACATGTGACTTTATACTGTCTTTAACAGGGGATATGAAAATACAGTATCCTCTTTGTACTTCCCTGACACCTGGTGTGATTTTTTTGTCTTTTACATTCATTGATTGTTGTTATATAGAGGTGAATATTTCTATATATACTTCTGATACAGATGTATTGATTAGACTGATTTCATCTATATATATCGCAACTTTAAAAAGGAAAACGTCTGCAGTATTAGTTACTTAAAACTTTGGATATATTCTACATATAAAATAGTCCGAATTTTTTAAGGAAAAACATTTCCAATGGAAATCAAATATGACTATGATTTAGGTGCTAAAACCCACAATATCCCAAACCCCACTATCATTTATAATCTACAACAGTTTGTAGGTATCATAGTTAAACTCCATTTAAAATTCTATGTAACTAACTCTCTGAATTTGGGTGATTAAGTGTTAATGTTAAGACCTTTTACAGAATTACATTCAGAACAAAATACTAGCCTACTTTGTTGAAAGAAACGTTACATTACACATTGATAAAATTAATGTAAACAGATTCACAATAATCTTATCTAATTTATAGGTTACCTCTATACCCCTTCATCAAATATTTACAGCTGTTTTAAAAAGATGACCCCCCCCCCTACAAAGAAAATCCACAACAGGATTTCATTATTTTAAAATTATAGGTGAGAGAATTTGTAAAGTGACAGAAAAATTAATTACTTAAAAACATTACAAATTTAGTTATTTATCGAAAAGAAATATTGATAAAATTTATATCAAAACAACATTCTTAAACTAAATATTTCATTTACTGTTTATATAATGTAGAAAGATATGAAGGGAGGTGGAAGATTACAGATTTTGATGTCGTCCTAAGCTATCTAAAAGAAGACATAACACCAGCTTGGAAAAGGTTAAAGATACACCACACAGACAAAAACTCTAATAACACTATGTATTTTATTGGTCTAACAATCTGGAAAGTAAATATTAAACATAAAACATACACTTACCATATTGTTATCAAACAACTGTCCAACAAGACACTCGATGTCTCAATACTACAAACACAGCAATCAGTGTCATTGTTATAGTTGACAAACCCTGGTATTAAATAAAAGACTTATAATTAGTTCACTTTTTCACTAAACTAAAAATATCCATCAAGCTAAGGTAGAATCACAGGTCATAGTACGAATACCGATTGTCTCCACCAATAAAATCAGTAATAATCTCTAATCATTATGGATTCCGTTCACTCTGAATAAATTAGTACGCAACATTTAGAAAATCATAGCACTAAAACTGAGAAATACTACAGACATGGAGTCAAATTAGGGACTCGTAGGTTGAGAAAATAATGTAGACATTATTTCCAGCATTATTTGGGTGCTACTATACCGAGCAGTCTACAAAGATACTAACATCATCATCACTGTTTTAATTATTCACTAAAACAATTTCTTGCTAAATATCTCTCCTCGTTTTTATTCAGCAAATAATAATAATTTAACAAGTTGTGTGTTCCAAAAGAGTACTATAAATTTAGGTTATAATTGTGCTAGATCTAATTGTTAGAATTTATTTCATTCCGATTATATTTGCCCCAAAACCTTTATGTGATGGTATTTGGTACTTTATTAGTTTTAAAACGTTATTTATAATAAATGGTGATGAGGATAGTATCTGGGTGGATCACATGCTACAATGTAAGTACCTTTGTAATCGACTGAATTTGTTCAAAATAAATAACAAAGAATAAACACGTGTACTGGTGCGTAACTGCAACAAAGGATAAACACGTGTACTGGTGCGTAACTACAACAAAGAATAAACACGTGTACTGGTGCGTAACTACAACAAAGGATAAACACGTGTACTGGTGCGTAACTACAACAAAGAATAAACACGTGTGCTGGTACGTAACTACAACAAAGAATAAACACGTGTACTGGTGAGTAACTACAACAACGGATAAACACGTGTGCTGGTGAGTAACTACAACAACGGATAAACACGTGTGCTGGTGAGTAACTACAACAAAGAATAAACACGTGTACTGGTGAGTAACTACAACAAAGAATAAACACGTGTACTGGTACGTAACTACAACAAAGGATAAACACGTGTGCTGGTACGTAACTACAACAAAGGATAAACACGTGTGCTGGTGAGTAACTACAACAAAGAATAAACACGTGTACTGGTGAGTAACTACAACAACGGATAAACACGTGTACTGGTACGTAACTACAACAAAGAATAAACACGTGTACTGGTACGTAACTACAACAAAGGATAAACACGTGTACTGGTACGTAACTGCAACAAAGAATAAACATGTGTACTGGTACGTAACTACAACAAAGAATAAACACATGTACTGGTACGTAACTACAACAAAGAATAAACATGTGTACTGCTACGTAACTGCAACAAAGAATAAACATGTGTACTGCTACGTAACTACAACAAAGAAAATGTAAAGTTGATCTCAAAGGACCCTCTTGAAGACAAAGTTTGTATCATCAGACTTAATGACTGGCTTCCATAAATGTCACAGTGTAATGTAACAAAAGTTGAGCAGTAACAAATCAATAATGTTTCTTATGTTTGCTGTAACCCAACCCACCATCTGAAATTGGGGCCAACTGAGAGATTTTTTTTTTTGAGATTATGACCTGTGAAATTATTTTCACCAATTTCTGCTGATATACTGACCCACCTAACAAAATTTCTTGACTTTAAATTTTTATTATAATTACTTTTTTTTTTAAATAGCCATATTATAGTTAGAATATTTTTTGAAAATTTGTGTAGTCCACAACAACGTGGGAGGGCATCACTCAATTACAAATCACCATCTCAATGCTGATTGGCCAATGCATGGTTTATCTCATCCCCACGACCTTTAATGCTAAGCAATAAATACATGACCTAGCAGGGGAGAATTTACTATTTATAAGCAAACATCAACAAGATGGCAATTGCAGGTCTGTTCAGTGTATCATTTTTGAAAAATATTCTCACAGACTTACGAATAGGATAAAAACAAATGAATTCAATTTGATACATTCACATGGAGGGAAGTACTTGAAGATTTACTTGGCGAATGAGATGAAACGGAAGAACAAACCATAAAATTGAAGGCAACCGTCAATCCAACTTCACCAATTGAGGTCGATATGACCAGAAAGTGTGTGTTACTAAAGAAAATGAAATTTCTGTAATTCTCTTCATAGAATAAATGTTGACAGTAATTGTAATCATGGTTTAACATGTTATGTTTTAGGTAATAACAGAACTAGTGGTATTTCCAAACTTTTTTTAGCCAACTACATTTTAAAATTAGTTTAGGGTTACAGTAAAAAAAAAAATTTTAAAGCCTGGCCTAAAATAATACAATACAGTCTAATTCAACATAAAAAGATGCAGTAATATGCTTACTTTGTTAGGTATACATGACATACGTTATTCAACAGCCTCCTGTGCACCACTGTTTGCTAGAATAAGGTGATGCAAATAATGCAACTAAAATGTACAACAGTGACACACAGTACAACAGTCACCAATTATTCACAACACTTAAAAGCACTATCTTAACATCAACTATTTAAAAATAGCAATAGCTATATGAAATAGTACTATACACAGTGGTAATAAACATTGAATATAAACTTATGATTTCAGATAATTAAAAGAAACAGTAGAAAGAATTACCACCCTCATATGAGTAGGGAAATTACTACGGTAACTGTCCACCGTTCAAAATTTGCTAAACAATAGTTGCAGAGACTCGTGAAAAGACAGAAAACTTGAGTAACGAGATGCAACACCAAAATCGGGAACCTTTAATGTGGCAGTTTCCAATTAATGCAAGAATTGTAGCTTTCAACTAACGAGCATGCTAGGAAAACACAGAATTTTATGGCTGGAAGTGACGGACTTAGAAACTTTTCCAGCACGACAAAATTAAGGAGATCAAATTAAAAGTACCCTTTCAGGTTTTTTCAAAAATTCTGTGTGATCCCACACTGCTGTAGATACCACTTGCAATAATTTTATAATGGAATCATAATAGATATTTGTAGCTCGAGCAAACTGTCAACAGTAAATCTCTAGCCTTGTTTGCTTACTTTTGTAATCCCTATTTGCAGATTTAAAATTCCCAATTTTTAATTATGTTGTATGTTGGCTTTGTTAATGCACAGTAATGGGCAAATATATGCCTAGAGTAAGATACAACCCCCACTAAGCACATACAACATTTATCCAGTAGAAAAGCAGCTTTTTCAAATAAAACAAATACATCTAAAACATCATTTTAAATAAAGCTTTGTATCTTTTAAAGTAATTACTTACCAAGCCAGGTGGTACAACGTCAACGGTGGCTGCTAAGTTAAAAGTAAAATGTTGTTTCTTCGGTATTTCGGCATATTATTGGTATTGTGGTAATACTAGTAGTATTGTACTAGTAAAGTGGTATGTAGGCTACTAGTAAGTTCAAGTTCATTGACTTAGCTTAAGTAGGGATCTACACTTAACTAAATCATAAAATAAAGTTTAGGCCTAACATTAATGGCGTAACGAGTTACCCCTAAACAAAGAAACAGTGAAATACGAAAAACATTAAACACAAGTCGATCTTAGTAATAAAAATATAAGCTTACTAGTATTAAAGTTTATAATTTTAGGTTATAAATAAAACGTAGTAAATAATAAAACAAAGCTTACAAAATACACTTCGAAATCATTAACTCTTCCAAACATGTAGCAAAATGGATACAAAACAATCGTGAAACCACTCAATTGCACTAACACGTGGCACAGACTAGTTCTGAACTGGGTGTACGAGAACTGCGATACTACTTGCCCTATTTTTCTTAATTGTTTTTATAACCACACAATATTAAAAAATAATATTATATGTAATTAAATTGATTTTTCTGAAACTCTGTATATTTAAAACTTTCAATATTAATTAACATTTTTTATGAGTCATTGACTGAGGTTGTTCACTACTACTAAAACACTACTTGGATATTTAAGATTAATTTATTACCAAAATATTTTGAACTAGCTGGAGTACCCGTTCCCTGGACGGAATTTGTGAAGATTCATGATTAATAAAAAGTTATGTTAGGACATGAAAATTTGTTTTCCTTATATGTAATTGTAAAAACGAAAAAACGTCCATAAAAACTGCAAAACACAAAATGTGAAACCGCAAATTTGCATGTATCTCCGCACAGACTCAACAAATCATCATGCCAAATTTGGTAAATATCCATCAGCAGGGGGCGAAGTATTGGTAAAAAACGCCCATAAAATCCGCAAAAATTGAAAGTTTGTATGCATCTCCTCATGGACCCAACTAACCGTCAAGCCAAATTTGGTGAAGATTCGTCAACAGGGGACGAAGTAGTGGTAAAAAATGCGAAAACGCCTATAAAAACCACAAAACGCAAAACTGAAAACATAGCATACCAATTCGGTGACGAGGAACCCACTTTGAGACTAATAATGGCTGGAGACGGCTTGAATGGGTAATGAAGAAAAACTTTAATATAAGTTTAACATAACAGCAAATGTACAACGTTTCGACAAGGTTTTGTCATCATCAGGTACCATACCAATTTTGATGAAGATTCATCCACACCCTGCGAAGTAGTTACATGGACAAACAACAGACAGTACTATTATATTTATATAGATTCAAAAATTATTTCCTTTAATTTAAAACTGTAATAACAGAGTAAAACAAATTTTAAAGATTGCCTATATGTGTTTGTTGTTAAGTGCAAAGCTAAACGATGGGTTATCTGTGCTGTGCCCACCACGAGTATAGAAACTCAGGTTTTAGCAGTGTGAGCCCTCAGACTTGCTACTGGACCACTGAGAGGTAAGAAATATGACCACAGAACGTTTCTTCATTTATGAACTTTACAAAACATATCATGCATTTGAAATCCTTTTCTAAATTGACTTTCTGCGTGGTGCTAGACAATAGAGGTTTTGACCCTTTCGCTACCCCTCTTTTATCCCTTAAAACCAGGAAAGGAAATAGGTTTTAGGAACTGGGTACAGGCTTAGAAGGAGCAGAGGGATGATAGGTATAAAAAGCAAATAAACAAGATAGGAGGTTCTTATTTTATATTCTAGCTTGTTGATATCAGTAATTTGAGTTCTTAATTCATAATAAACTTTAGATTTTGTATTTGGACATCACAAACATATAATTTGAACCAATGCTGCATCCAACATACTACATGATACACAAAAATCTATATTTAGGTGTATTCTTTTAATATTTACTTTTGAATTAAAAAAATTAACTAATGTATAATACAAATATTTGAAATATAATCTACAATTTGATACCAAACTTATAGACATAAATTCATAAAATAGTAATTCAATAAAATTTTGAATGCGAGTCAACAAACGCGATGACATGGCCTTTGACCCGTAACGATAGGGTTAATAAACATCTTCACTGGTTAATCAAAACTGACTAACTAAAAGTTCAATAAACACTGATCTTTAGAAAATAGAAAGGGTCATGTGGCAGTAGAGAGTGTTTATTATCGTCACTTGGCCAAAGGTTACACAACCAGTGCTTGTATGTTACTGAACTTGAAGGTCAGCAAAAACGGATTTATCTATTCTTTTACATTACATGACGATACAAAACTGTAAATGCACATTTACAGCATTCTGTTTCTTAAGATGGATGGATCAGGTAATAAAAATTCACATATACAAAACATATAGGACACTCATCAATGTGATTGGATCTACGATGCTCACTGATCTCGTCCTTATATGGAAAATCACGAAAATATACAATTCACTTACAGACCGTGACAAAAATTATAAATAAGTCTTATATATTTCATAACATAAACAATGGAATTCTTACGTGTTTGGGTAAAAGAATAAAATATAAATAAAGGAACTTCAACCTCATTGGGTTCATATTGTTTTTACCAACAGAGTATATATTTACAAGAAGCAATAAAACTTGTGTCTGTAAGCAATGCTTGGACCAATCATAGAGATACTTTCTGTCCTCTGTTCATCAGCCATATGGCTGTCGATGACCACAACTTAAGAAACAACCTGTTCTCTGTTATGTAATAGGGCCCGGCATGGCCAGGTGACTAGGGAGCTCGACTCGCAATCTGCGGGTCGCGGGTTTGAATCCACGTCTCACCAAATATGCTCGCCCTTTCAGCCGTGGAGCGTTATAATTTGACGGTCCATCCCACCATTCGTTGGCAAAAGAGTAGCCCAAGAGTTGGCGGTGGGTGGTTATGACTAGCTGCCTTCCCTCTAGTTTTACACTGCTAAATT